GTCAGCTGCAGAAGGATGCGCGTCATTTAGTTCAACTTAGTTCAAAAAATAATCAAGTTTTGACTTGTCGACTTAAAGACCACTTGGGGATGACAGGCACGTCCAACTTGATCAAAACGAAACATAAGAGCATGATTAATAGTATAGCCAACTGCTGGCTATATGATCTTGCCACATCATTTATAGTCAGCCTTATAGCCGGTAAATACAATAGATGCATATAAATTTGTAAATTTGTACTACTTTGTTGATACATAGCGCACCTTCCTCTCTTATAAAATGCCTAGGAGCACGTGTTACAGCCGACTGTTAATTAGTAGCCCGCTTCTTTTCTCTCTCCTCTTCTCTCTTCGCCAACTCATCAAAAATATAATATTAAAGTCTTACAACCCTCCTACATCATCCTATTATACTTGCTCTAAATAGTACTCTGACGTTGGTTGTTCTTGCAATAGAAGCACGGAGACACTTGCATCCACATAATTTTATCGTTGGCAGGGGCGCTGGCGGCCGATTGCAAACCAGTGGCGAGTCAGGGATAGGAACGCGCACTGCTGACAGGGGCGTACCTAAGTTAGAGTTATCCAGGTGCACAGGACATCAGGTGCATGATGTTTTCTTTGTAAGTTTCATGCAAAATATAATGTGTGGCACCTCATCTTTATATTAAAAATATGAGTGATCATATGTTAGGACCCCTGGTCATTTTCTCTCTAGGTCCACCCCTGACCGCCAGTACATCGGGATACAATGGAGAGACGGGGCACAGCCAGCCTAGCTGCACGCGGGGGATGAGAAGACGAGGACGGGTGGTGTGGGGACGAGGGAGTAGAGGGTGGCGCAGAGGCCGGACATAGAGGTGCTGGTTGGCAATTGGTGGTCGAACATGGATGAGGAACCTATCGAGGTTGAATCATTGTTGGATGCCATACTAGTACTGCCAGTGGGTCCTAGAAGCCTAATTCGGTGTTAAATCTGTTATTGACGTTTTTGTGCTTTGTGCACCAATTACCGGAAACAATTGTGTTTTGTGCAACAAAAAATGGAACCTGTGGTTCTGCGCAAAATATGGCCCAACAAGTGGCATGATCTGCAATTCCCTTCACCTGAAAGGTGTGATCCTTCCATTGTCTAGAAAACAATATAATACCTTAGGCTGGTCATAACGGGGAGTAACTTGGACTAGTAACATACATATGTTACTACCCTATGTTATACCTTTATGGGTAGTATTACTTCAGTCAGTGACTTGATATTGTGATTTCTTTTTTTTGAAACGGAGGAAAAAATTTGCTTCATATTTATATATCTAATAATAAATGGACTATTGCTTCTTATGGTACATCACAAAAATTGCTTCAAAAGTTGCAAAATATTACCCACCAAAACCACATATAAGTGATAAAAAAATGTTTCACATAGGGAATCCCATGCCTGGTCTGGCCCAGACAATAGGGACCACCTATACTGCGCTCTGCGCGTTGGGAGACGACGCAGTGCACCTGTTTGGTCTGACCCATGTCCGGGCGGCATGTTTTCTATTTTTTTCTATTTTATTTTTTGCTTTTTTGTTTCGTTTCTTCCTATTTTAAATAATTTGGGACTTCAAAAAAGTTTAGAAAAATTAAAAAAAATTCTAATTTTGAAATAAATCATTTAGTAAATGATAAAGTGTTAGTGGATTCCAAAAATGTTTGCGATTTTATAAAAAATGTTCGCTTATTCAGAAAAATTTCAGAATTTTGAAAACAAATGTTTGGGAAGTAAATAAATTCAATATTTTTAAAAATGTTCCTGTATTAAAAAATGTTAATGAAATTGAACAAAATTTTACCAATTCAAAAGATGTTCATGAATGGAAAAATATCCTAAAAATTAAATAACTGTTCATGACTTAAAAATAGTTTATTCATTTCTAAAATTTTTCCTGATTCAAAAAAATGACCATGCATTTCAAAAAATGTTCGCTAAATCAAAACCATGTTCATGAATTTAAAAAATTATTCCACCAATTTCCAAAATAATGTTCGTCCATTCAAGAAATGTTCGCCGATACAAGAAAATTGTTAGAAAATTTTTCAAAATTTTAAATGTTTGCAAATAGTATAAAATGTGCACGAATTCAAAAAATGTTCTTGATTTTAGAAAATGTTCGAAATTTTGTAAAAGTGTTCACGAATTCAAAAAATGTTCATGGTTTCAAAT